TAATAATAAAAAAAAAATAAAAAAAATCTGCTTTTTTATAATTTGTCAGCATGTAGTTCATGCTGTATAAATTATGCTGCCCTCCTCCACCTACATTTCTCAAGTTTTTTCTAAAATATAATTTTTATTTTAGAACAGTACCACTGCTTGTACAACTGCTAACTAATCACGCTAAAATCTATTAAAAAACCATGTACTGCACGGGTATGTTTACAGTTCCTACCTATTGAAATTCCACTAGAAAGGGTGGAGCTTTCTGCCTGCCCCCGCGATGGGACATGAGGCTCCATGACGCTGTCATCCAGTAGGTGCCTTGGTCCTGCGTTGGGGAATGTTGCACTTTTAAATTCAGCCGTATTCATTTTGTGTATGAAACTAGAAATGAACAAGGATAAAAATTGTTACAACATTATCCTTGATGCCTCTCAAAAGCTCTTGCTTTAACATCCTCAAGTATTGCATGCAGTGTGTTCCGAATATCAAACTAAATCATGGCTCAAGTCATAAGCATTTCTGCACAAACTATATTACCTATAGGAATCACTAGTCTTAAACCTGCACAGTACTCTTGGAGCAAAGAGAAAGTCAGGAATACTTTAAAAATTACATTCAATATCCTAAGGTATTTTTGTCTTACTGTAACACATAACTGAACTTTAGAATTTCACTGTAGTTCATAAAAGGTAAACTTACACAATGTAAGTTGAGATGAATTACTGAATAGCTAAAATCTTGCTTTTTTAAAATATGACAAAGGAATTAATGATACAATGATTAAAATATTAATTAGAAGTACACCTACATAGAAAAAAAAACCTGAAGCCATTACTATACAAAATTATATGAAAGCCTACAAAGAAGCTCTCATCATAAAAACACCAATAAAGCAATTATTTCAGTTTGAATTTGAAAGAATTACACTGGCATTGACCTGCCTACTCATGCTAACCTAATCGTGCTACTTTTTCAAAGCAAAGCTTCTGTATGGAAAGATGATACATCACAAAGCTTAGGATTTTAAGGTTAAATAAAAATGCTGACTTGTATCCCAGACTGTGACACTTCCTATGTCCATGTGGTATCAGGTTCCTAGGTGAAGGGGGTGTTGGTGGTAGCAAGGCTCCTTCCGCTGCAACATTTTTCCGTCCACTTTGTGGAGACGCTCCGACTTCAGAGCCTACGAACAAAAAAGACATTAGTCCTGAGTAACTTTAGAATTACCTACTTTCTAAGAAAATTGTGGAAGAGTTGCACAAAACTTCCTAAACTCAACTTATAAGGGATGGCCTGTAATAAAACACTCATTGATATACTCAGATTGATAATTTTTAAAAATGTAGTTTAGGTTTTTTTGCACAGGATTTAAAAAAGCAAGCACATTTGTTTCAAATAGACCATCTAGTTACAAATATTTTGTAAGTCCTAAAAGTTGCTGCGTTAGCTACATTGACATTAAACAGGTCCCATTGATTCTACGTTTTGAAACTCCAACCTTCAACTACTTTTGGCATTGATGAAAAATAATGTACATTTTTGGAAGCATATTATACCACTAAAAGTTTAGATGAAGGCCTTTCTGTCTAGATGCAACAAAGAATGAATATTTAATAGCTCTTCACCCCAAATGACACTAACAAGTTAGTGCCACAATACATACAAGAACCTAAAATCTGACTCAATTCCCTGAAAGAATTTCTACCTTCAGACTTTTTATTACAAATAAACAGTGTTTATACTTCACACTTTATTAGCCTCAAGCAAATATTTTCCACATTCGCAACTCAAAAATAATGCATTTGACAAGCTGAAGTCTTCTCACACTTATTAAGCATTTACCTACTAAATCTTCTCTGGAAGCAGCAGAGTGTGGGGTGCTGGTCCCTGGTTCTATCTTTAATGAAAGTCTGCATTAAAGAAGCATTAAAAATTACTTTATCAGGAAATTGAAGCACATAAAAGTTAAGTTTTTGAAAAATATTTTTTTAAAATTTACAATTGAAAGCTGCTTGTTTCTAGAGTTGCAAGAAACACTATGAAGTTAATACAAACCATGCATAGTTATCTTTAGCAGGAAAAAAAATGACAAGCTAGGGCATAAAGTAGTAAATGAGTCTATTGCTTTGGTTCATATAGACCAGGACAGGTTTGCAGTATCATGCTGAAAGGAAGACCAGACTCAACAGCAAAATCTCAGCTACAGCACAGCCCTGCAACCTCTTCTGCACCAGGGTCCCTGACACAGCCGGCACAGCCAGCCACAAGCTGCCACCAGTTGCCATCTTCACCCTCTGCGTCAGCCAAAGCTCCTCGGTCTGAGCTGTTAACAAGCTGCGACAAAGACACACAGCAGAAGGAGCAGGGGAAGAGGCCGTTGCTCTGTGTTGGCACCACACTCCAGGGAAAACATAGCCACACATAAGCCAGGACCTACAGGGCCCTGGGACTGCTAGCAGATACACGAAATTCAGTGACGATACCACTACTCTAGCCTAAGAGCTGGCCCCCACCTTGGCTAAGATATTTATACTTACTACACTCCAGATTTTAATTTTTTCTATAAAGTGCACTAGTGTGTCAGGCCAAGTCTTTTGTCTTTACTGGTCTAAAAGCCAAAATCCTTCTTTTGCCTTTGGAAAATACATTATCAACTTGACTTCATCCATAATTCAAGCTTTTTCTATAACAGGCACTTTTTAATGCCATTTCCAACAGTTCCACAAAGAGGGCAGACTCCAGGAGCAGAGAAGTCCAGGAAGATCAAGCGTATCTTGTCCACACAGTTCGCAGAACTGGAATCTTTGAAATTAGCAGGTTGGAAAAGCACCTACTTAATTTTGGGGAGAAAAAGTTTTAAGGTTGACAGCTCCTCTCCCTCCTCTCCCCAGACAGTTTAGCAATGACTCATTACCATTTTAAAATTTATTTTTTTTTTTTAAAGAAAATACTTTAGGAAATAAAAACATGTATTCAAGTTACAATGGCAACGGCTGTTCTTTAAGTTCAGCCTTTTTGCAGACACTTTAGGGGATAAAAAGTAAAATAGTCACTTATAGTAAGCATAGTTCTTCAAAATACACTCCTCCCCCATAAAAAAGTTCAATTTGGCGACATACAAAACCCATAGGTGTAAAACCAGACTTTCTGAATAGAGCCATGTTTCTGCACTACACGCAATTGTCTCCGTTCATCTCCCCGCTAGCAAAACATGGGTTCTACAGGATGAAGAGACTGTAGCTCCTTCAGCAATAGAATTCCCACTAGTAGTGAGTCCTACCTAGTGAAGGGAGAGGAAGGTGGAGTGTGGAATTCATGAAAACAATATGCTGCTAAGAAGTGGACACTGCAGTTAAGAAACTTGGGTTTGGTTTTGGTTTTTTTCTCCTTCAAATGTTTGACCACGAAGCTTTACTTTCAAAATCATGCTACAGAACATTTCAGCAAAAAGGGAAAGCCGGATGCTTGCCTCTGAACATGCAGAGAACAATTTACAAATCCTAAAGATCGTAACACATGAAGGGAGTCAAGTGTCCAAGCCCTCGTTAACTGTCCTTTGACAGAAACCAAAGGGTCCCCATTTGCTGCCTTTTAGTAAATCCAAGTTAAGGCTACTAAATGACAAACTGTATTTGTTCCTCTAGCGTGCATACCCCTCCCACCATTTGAATGTAGCTACACAAGCAACTAATTCAACACAACTGAGGTGACAGACTTCCAGGGCGGGCAGGATGGGAATGGGTGGGGAACCTCCTCAAGGAGATCAGCCAGTGAACAAACGCTTTCTTCATATGCAGCAGATTTGCTTTAGGTTTTTTCCTATCCTCAGGGCTTGTTCCTGTCTCTTGCCAGAGATTTCCATTCCCCAATTTTGCTGGATGCCAAACCACTTAATACAGTAATAGTCTTTTAATTAAGGAAGTAGAAACCTCTGTTTTGGGTGGTATACTGGGAGGAATGGGCGGGGACACAGATGGACAATATCTTGCCTCTCAAAAAATCAAGTGTTGATATTTTACTTACACTGTATAACCTAATCGAAGAGAAAAATATAAAACAAAAGTGAAATATCCACGGAAGTGAAAGCCTTAATTCACCCACGGTAAGAACCTGGGACTGGATGCACAGATGACTTTGTTCTGATGAAAAATGACATAAGCTATCACTAATCGTGGAGTCCGTCTTATTCACTAAACACTGTTGCACATGAGCCAGAAGTACGGAGCCTTCACTGATGAACACTCAAAGAGGTCTGCAGATCGAATCGCCAGACCAAACAGACCTGAAAGCTCAGGCTCGATGTGGTCAGCATGCTGAAAATTGTCTTGGGCACAGGACCCTGCTGTAACCTCACTACTTACAACTGGTGCATCTGAGACGCAAAATCTGCCAATACAAGTGCGATCTTCAGAGTGACAGGCTTTGTGATCTAAAAGCTATTTTGTAATGAGTTACGGTCAGTTATAACATTTCATACTTACTTGTAATTGTCATCTTCTACAAACTTTTGTAGTTCTTCTATGTACTGAACTGAGTTTAGATATTTTTGGACATGAGGCAACAGAGGAATATCTGGAGAACAGATGACATTCATTATCACCATACCATTCACTGGTAAGCAAAATTATTTTCCAGAAACTACTTAAACAGAATCAGATCTCTTGCAAGATGGAGGTACAAACTACAGTCCTACTGATGTTGAAATTTTTGTCCTTCATGGCAATTCCCGTGCATTGAGCTGGTATTCCCCACATCCATAAAGCCAGGTACATATTCCCTCAGAACTGCTCTGCTTATCAGAGAACATGCAAGGGAAAAGTGAGAGCCTGCTCCTGGCCAAACTGAAGGCCCAGACCTGGAGGTTTGTATCTGAGGACTCCTTTGCAGACCACATACTCATTATATATATATTGAGCTTTCACGAATGTGAAATCCTGTGCTAATTCACATTCCACCATCACAAACGCAGCCTTATGACTTTACTAGAACTTGAAGAGGATTGTGAGGGAGACCACCTTTGAAGAAAAAATACATCTGATCTACAAACAGAACTATAAATGTCCAAAAGACAAGCTGAACGTATTTTATTATCTCCAGTAAAAGTACTACTCCAAAAGCAATCCTACTATTTTTAGAATTCATAGTCATAAAATTATGAAACACGGGGATCTAAGTTTATAACGTGCTAGTAAAACTACTGTTAAGTACAATGTATTCCACATTTTTCATCAGAAACTATGGACTGCAAAAATGCGCGTGATGTAAGAAAAGGGCAATTTTATCCTGTCTCCTCATGCTGATGCTCTGTTACAACAAACAATACCAGAATAAACTTAGACTTTTGGGCTGAGAAGGTGAGGGAGAGCATTAATGGCATTCAAATAGGTTGGCCCATACTTACATTGCATTACAGAAGATAAATATTAAAGCTTTTAAAGTTGTTCTCTTTAATACTACAATAGTTACACGCTAGCTTACCATATTCACACGACTGCTGTAAATCGGAGATAATTCGAAGAATGTTGTTCATTAAATTTGTTCTTTGCTCACTTTCCAGAATGCTCCCTGTTGATGGGTAGGCGGAGTCAATATACGTCAAGTCTGACAGATAAATACCTGAAAGATTAAAGTGAAAAGTGTCTCATATTTAACAGGAAAAAACCTCACAAACAGTATTTTAAAGAATTTTTGCTTTCGCTGACTAACGTGCATGCAAGTCGACACCAGCACTGCCTCAGAACAGCATTTTTGATTTTCCGGAGAAATCATTTCAACAAGGTCTCCGAGAGCCTTCGGACCTCGGAGTAAAACAGTAATAATGCTTGGACTTACAGAAGTACATCGCTGTGCCATCCCTGTCTGGGATTGAATTTGCACTCTCCTCAATCACTTAATCCTTAGTTTCGTCAACCTTATCTCAGCTGGATTTGCAAATGCTGAGGGTACGAGCACAGCTAGACTTCTACATACAAGCTTTCACTCTCTGTAGGACAAATCACAGGGGGAGGCAGAGAGGATCCTTTCCTCTTGCATCCCACTAGGTCTGTACTAGCTGACTGTCTTTAACAGTGTCATTGTTTCTAAATCTAAATGTAATTACAAGGACATGCACAACTGCTCATGAACCTAATCTTCTACTGCATCACCAATTAATTATTCCCTTAACAAATATGAAGCATACTAAACACACAATGCTAAAATACATGACCAAAATTACTAAGGATTTTAGGAAGTCTACTACTTCATTCCTCCAACTCAGCAATTAAAAAAAATTACAGAAGGAAAAATAGCACTATTTATAACTCTTCAAGCTGAATAGAAACTCAAACTTGCAGCAACATGGGAAAAGTGAAGTAGGCAAAAAGTGCACTCAGATTAAAATGGGGTACGACTCTTGCAGTTCATACTAATCACACCTCCAAAGATCCAACAACCTTATAGATAACTCTCTTCAAGTCTTCTACCTGTGCTCTTCCCTGCCACCATTGTTACCTTACTACTCTTTCAATCCCTTGATCATGTAGAGAGGACAATCCTCCTCCTTACATGCTAATGCTGTAAATAAACTGCTTATTTTAATTCTAAATGCAACTCCATTTCTTGAACCTCACCCAAAGACTAATCATTTTTGTCTCAACTAAGTGAAACATATCCTGGCCAGCTCTGCTATTAAAAGGAATTGCTCTTCATCCCCTGCATCTTTCGCAAGATATCCACATAAAATAAAAATATACAAACTTAAATTGTATTTGTAAGAAACTTATTTCAGTAACAGGGAATTGCTAAAACTATATTTTGTTTCACCTCTCAGCCTTGTATAACCAAAATCATAACAAGAAGTTTGGCTTTACAGGTGGAAGACTATTAATACAACCTCACAAGAACAGCAGTTGTGTTTGTATAGCACCTACCCAGCACAGTCCTCAAATGTGAGTTGGGAAACTCTGGGCACGACTCCAAAATCAACACATACACGCGCGTGTGCGCACACACACAGAAACAAATTAAAATACTTGTGGTTGAAAGGTGACATATAAAAAAAGTGAATAAAAAGGTATTACACATGACCTGATATACTACTCAATTTCTCAATTTTCTGTTCTGCTAGAATCAGTTTCTTAGAAAACAGAAAGGATAATCAGAAGCATCAGATAGTCGCATGTAATTGCTAAGCCATCTAGACCGCATAAGCCACCCCAAACCTAACTTTGCTAAGCAACGTCAAAACGGGCCTTAAAAATCCCAAACCTCCTCAGTCTTCCACAGAAAGTAGTAAATCATGCTTACTAATTATAATTAAGGAAGTTCACTATGAACAGGCACCTGCAATAATATGCAGGGTTTTATAAACCAATATATTTGCAGGATTATCTTTCTGAATGACTTGCTCAAGTAAGCACTGATTTTTTTTCTTTTAGCTAAATCAAGAACTCTCTTCTGTAGAAAGCTGTTCTCAAAACCTATTCAATGCATTTCTATGAAGTCTAAAATAATTGTGAAAGCATGCTAGGGTACTTCTCTTTCAAATGTAATTGGCACATCCTTTGTGAAGAACCCAAAAAGATCAATGAAAGCAAATTGAATGTACTTAAGTGCTGACTATTGACAGAACTAAAACCAGTATCCTGTGTTCCTCCCAGTGCATAATCTGGGTGGCTTTTGCTACTTCGAACACCACTGAGATGTTATCAAATATTCTGATACCTACCTAAAACCATCACACACACAGATTTAACATTTTCCACATGTATCAGAGATTTCGTGTGTTTAACAACTGGAACTGTTTCTTATTAAGTAAACGTCAAAAATTGAATGCGACATTCTGTTGAACATTCTTCTAGACTATAAATGGTTCATTTTTCCTGTTGTATCCAGCCAGGCTGCCCCTTTTATTCCCAGCAACACAAATCGAGTTTTATCAGCCTGAAAGAATCTTTCTTCTAAATGAAGCCCAGTACTGTAATAACTTGAAAGGCATCTTTAGGCAGCGTAGTAAAAATGTTTGATTTGTAATTGCCTGCTGA